CATATACAATGCCTACAAGTGTTAATTCCTTCATTCCCAATCCTTGGCTAGAGGAGGCGTTGTTGTTAGTTGCTTTTGAGCCACCTCTGATTCATGGCAACATGACATATGACAAAATGAAATGTTGCCCAGTCCTGTGCCATCTTCATGATTGTTGGTATGTTTGAGTCCGTTGTGTGGCTATTCTGTAAATCTGCTGACCCTCCTCTTTACTACATATAATGTCTTTTTCTAGTGATTGGTTGGTCTTCCCTGGTGATGTGTCCAAAGTGAGCAAGATGAAGTCCCACTATCCTGGCTTCTAAGGAACATTCTGGTTGTATTTCTTCCAAGACTGATTGGAAAGAGTAGGTTGTTGTTGTTATCATTGTTAGGTGCCATTGAGTCAGTTCCAACTCATAGAGACCCCATGTCCAACAGAACGAACACTGCCTTGTCCTGAGCCATCCTCACTATCCTTGGTATGTTTTAGCTCATTGTTGCAGCCACTGTGTCAATCCTTCTCGTTGAGGTCCTTTCTCTTTTTGCTGATCCTCTGCTTAACCAAGCATGATGTCCTTCTCCAGGGACTGGCCCCTCCTGATAACATGGCCAAAGTACTTGGGACGAAGTCTCCCCATCCTTGCTTCTAAGGAATATTCTGGCTGTCTTCCAAGACAGATTTGCTCATTCTTCTGGCACCAACAGCATAATTCAAAGGCATCAATTCCTCTCTAGTCTTTTATTCATTGTCTGGCTTTCACATGTACTGGAAAGAGTAGGTACTCCCTGAATATTTCTCAAATGAGTGAGAACTGGCTTGAGCTGGCAGTGGGGCCCTGTCTGCTGAGTCAGTGGCCCTGAGTCAGCAGTTGAGTCACATACAACATAAGTCCCCAGAGAGGGCAGATACTGCCTGGGCTGCAGTTCCCACCTATCAGGCTGAAATGCTGGCAGGGAGTGATTCCCAAAGAAGATGGAGAACTCACCGTGGGGGGAGGGGAGTGTCATTTCCTTTCCCACTGTCTCTCTTTGCTCTCCCTTTTTCCTTCCTTGCTGACCAATTCAACCCAGGAGAGATTCATACCTCATTGTGAGTCATCCAGCGTTGCATTGATGGCACTGCATTTGTACTATATCTCTTGGAATATAAGGACATTGCACATCTATCTTCTTGGCCAAGAAAAATGCAACCAAAGCACTGTAGCTCCTTGGTAGGTAGAAGCCTTAGAAGGAATGTTAGAGGCTCATGACAAGCCTATCTCAATAAAAATGACATGCCCACCCTTAGACTTACAAGTGAAGTTTGGTGATCTCCACATTGATGACTCATAACTTTCCCAGTGTTTAATTCTATGAGCCATTGATTAAAGTAGGGTGTAGCACTATACTTGTCTTTTCCAGCTAAGCTCTTCCCACTAAGTGGAACATTTTGGAAGCTTCTGCAAGCCCCTAGGATACCATTTCATGGATCAGAACCATTGTAATTGAAATGATGATTGAGGGATTTTAGAAAGGTTTATTATTATTTTTCCAGCTTCTACCCAGGCTTGTCTTGTCCCTGAGGAGCAGCCCATATAGGATCCTATACAGCAGAAGAGTACTGCTGAACAGAATTTCCCATGATGTATTGGAAGGGTCAGTGTGTTCCCATCTTACTCTGCTCCCAAAGGCCAGAGTTAATGAGCAGCAGTTTTTATGTGAATGTCAGGCATGTTGCAATAACTAGCCACAATGGAATAGTCATGGCAATTTCCACTTGGTTTCTTTGTTTTTGTGATGTTGCTGCATGCTTCATTTTATGAGTATTTTCTTGTGTGTGGTTGAAGCCATCTCTTGCCATCTTGGGCTTGGACAGTGATGTCACTAAGCTTGGTGTCACTACTCTTTCCCCAGCAGCTTGCTGCAGCTCCTCCCCTTTCTTCCTGGCCAAGGTGGGGACCCTCTTCTCTGCCTAATGGCAGCCTGTGGCTTGCCTTTCTGTACTCTAACTGGCAGGTAATGGGGGGAGGAAGAAGAGATAGAAAGAAGAGATGAGATACCACACAGGGTGACAAAGGACACCAACTCTAGTGATGCCATTATCTTGGCAGCCCCTCCTCATGTGGTGCCAGTCTGCCTGCTGCTGAAGACCCTGGGGTCATTTTAGTGTCACCCTTTTGACAGTGTATGTATGGGTGCAGACTGCTAGGTCACCTTCCCCTGCAGTGATACCACTAGATTTGGATACTTCTATTTAAAAGGAAGGAAGGTTGGGCAATCCTACTTCCGTAGTGATACTGCCTCGGAAACCCAAGGAGGGGTCGCTATGAGTTGGGGCCGACTCGACGGCAAACAACAACAACAACAACAACAATTTAAAAGGAGATGAGAAAACAGAGATAAACTGGGAAAAGAACATCTTCTGAGTACTAATTAATTTATTTCCCTCCCTCCATTTCTGCTACAGAGAGTCTGGTGATTAATATTCTGATGAATCTGTGTTCTAAAGAGAAGGGGGAAAAAGGCCATCACTAAAGGGAGCATTTAATAAGAAGGTTCCAGTCTTGGGTAAAGTATTGTGAAAACCTGATTTTTTTGTGACGTTAATGCCATGGATATATACCAACTCCAGTAATACTCCTTCTGAAATGAGATAAATGAAAATTGCCAAAGATCTTTGTGGTTTGGTTTTCTGGGGCCAGTTGTCTGTGTTGAGAGCTTCCATCTTGATGGTAGAATCTACACTTTAAAGCTAATTTCCATGTGAGTATAACCAGCTGCCAATAAAGAGTTGGTGGTGACTCCTGGAAATTCTGTGTGTGCCAGAGTAGAACTGTGCTCCGTAGGGTTTTCAGTGGCTGATTTTTCAGACGTAGATCACCAGGCCTTTCTTCCCAGATGCATTTGGGTGGACTTGGGCCTCTAACTTTTCAGTGAGAGCCAAGTGCATTAACAGTTTGCATGGACCAGGGACTCATAGACTATAAAACCCACTGTCGTCCAGTTGATTCCAACTGGTTAACTGCTGACCTTTCGGTTAGCAGCCCAATGCTTTAACCACAGTGCCATCAGAGCTCCTCATAGACTGTTAAGGACTGGTGAAACTCTAAGTGTCTTGTGACATCCTGATTCACTTCACTCATAGGGTGACTAACACTCTTACTACAGAGTGGTTAGCTGGAGGCTATTGTGTGCTTTACATACATTGATTCCCAAGATAGAAGTGCATCTGTAGCAACACTTGTGGGGAACCACTGGTAGCGGGCCTTCTGGTAACAATCTCTCACTCGTTCTGATGGATGGTAGCAGAAGGGCTGAAGGTCATAGCTTAGGTAGAGGATGAAGCCAAGGATGGTGAATCCTTAAGAAAAAGCTCCACTACAGAGATGCAATTACCCAGAGGATGTCTTCTTCTCTTAGGAGCCTGTGTTCAGAATTTTACACTTTTCAACATCTGTTTACCTTTCTCTCTTCTCCGCTTCTACCAGTTGCCATCTTGTGGTTTCTGACTTATGGCAAACACATGTGTCAGAGAATTGTATGGCTGCCAACCAGAAGGGTGGCGGTTCAAACCCACCAGCCACTCCGGGGAAGGAAGATAGGGCAATCTACTTCCGTAGAAATACTTGCGTCTGGGAAACCCAGTCACTATGAGTTGGGACTAACTGGACCGCAGTGAGTTTGGTTTTTTTGGTTTGAGAGTTTTCAAGGACTGATTTTTCATAAGTAGACTTCCAAGACTTTCTTCTGAAGCATCCGTGCATGGACTAACCCACTGACGTTGCCATTAGCACTAAACTCCTTAACCGTTTGCACCATCCATGGATTTCTCTGGCTTATACTTTACTTTAAAATATGCCAAAGGCATACTTTGGATCCCACCTATCAAGGTTCATAGTTGCCCTGTGAATCCAATGTCATATAACAAAGACCCTTTCGCCATTTTTCACTTTTTAGTTTCAACTTTCTTCTCTGGGTATCCCCCCCCCCCC